GTTCACCATATACTATGAATATAGAATACAGCGCAGTACGTAATCTGTTCAATGAAACAACGTTAAAGATTAACACTCACAAGTCGGACACTCTACTGAATCTGACTATATCGCCAATACCACCAGCAGCTGTTCCGTAATTCTACAGTCTTCGATATCAAGGGCTGCCAGTAAATATTCGAAAAAAAAAACATAGCCGCCTTTATACACGTCGCATTGAATATTTTGAGCCTTCTGATTGGTTAACCCTTCTATTGGTTAACTATAAAATGAGTCAGCTCATTTTGGCTGGCTCACTAGTACACCATGGTACCCAAAAATTCCAACATATTTTTCTGACAACAAGAATATTTAGGCAGGTAGATGTAGTTGGATAAAAAAATAATGTTTAATTAAAAAACAGGGCTTCTACTCGAATATGAGTATCCATATAAAATAACGTTTAAACAAAATAAATTAAAAATAGCAATATGTCGGATTTAATCCAGTTCCTAATTATATATGTGTGTGGTTAAAAATGTCTAACATGGTACTTCTGCTAAGTGGTTTTATTATAAGTTTGCTGTATGGGCAGAAGTGAGCGCAAAAATTGCCAAATGATTCTTATTCTTATTCGTTTTAGATTAAACTCCTATTTTTAATGAATTTTTTGGTAGTTTAAATTGCGTGTAACTTGCTATTGAAAAAAAAAATGTTGAAAGGTAGACATATTCTTAATTCCCAAATGTAGCCAGTACATTGTGGTCCTGTGCATAGATTGATTGTTAAGGGTTGATTCATCGTTTTTTTTTATAAGTACATCCATTATTTTTAAATGATTTTTGCAGTTGGAGATGTGTATCATATTTTTGTTCTCCACGCGTATGTTTCGTATCGATGTTGTTATCAGGCTGTTTAAAATCGCTAAGTTTAGATCAATAGTGGAATGTGATGTAGGGTCAGCCATGTTGATGAGTGTTGATGTGTCTAACGTAATTATTTATGAGTTTGTCCCCGTCGGGAACGATACGAAACGTATAAATATCATCCCACTCTCTCTCTCTTTCTCTTTCTCTCTCTCTCTCTCTCTCTCATATATATATATATATATATATATATATATATATATATATATATATATATACTTAGATAGATAGATAGATAGATGGATAGATAGATAGATATTAATTTAAAGAAAAAACAGACCACATAAAGGTTCCATTGTTATAATTTATTTCATCAGAGATCTTATTTTTCTCTGGATCTTCAGTTTTCACATTGAATTGTAAAAAAGATGAATTTAAAGGGATAGTGCGAGAGACATGGTCGAAATTAGAGAGGGAAAGGAGAGTTTTAAAATTTATTTTTATTTCTATTACAATACTTAATATTGAGGAGGAGGGGGTAAAAGATCTGACATTGACCTATTTAATCGGTCAACTAACCGGAAATGATATGGGAAAAAGAAGAAAATAATATATATATATATATATATATATATATATATATATATATATATATGCCAGATCAGGAGCTGTAATTTTGCAGATTCCTCCTTGGATTTTATCAAGAATTTCTAAATATATAGCGGGGGTATTGGACCTCATGTGGCAGCAGTATTCAAAGCAAGCACTTATCTTTCCCAGTGAATCCGAGGGCACTATCTCCAACTGAAATTGTTCATGTCCTCACGTGACACATTTCTGAAATTTCGATTTAAAGGTCCTTGTACTTTTCGATTTTTATTCGATCGAAAACAATTGATTTTAACAAGTTTCGACAGCTTCCACAAAAAGAAAAAAAAATGGTTTTCAAAAACATATGGATACATGGAAAATGTACTTTCTGAAGAAAAGATAGAAAACCAGAGCGTGGGAAGGGGTGAAATGATTAGGAGAAAAGAGTGATAGAGAAAGAGAGAAGAAAAAATAGAGTGAGAGGGAAAAAAGAAAGAAAGCGACCAAGAAGAAAACCGTGTTTGAAACATAGAACGCTCTTATAATCCTGATTCATACATAAAAAAAAGTTTACTAAATTTTACAAATATATTTTATGTTATGTATATTTAAATTTATTTAATAATAATAATAAATAATAAAATAACAATATATATATAATATATATATATATATATATATATATATATATATATATATATAATAGTTGGCCTCTCGTATTCGAGGATACCCGTCTAATAGGGCGGCTAGCCACTCCCTATTACAGACGCAGTGTCAGGCACATTTGTGTTTGCTCGACACCCACAGTTTGTATGTGTGTCTGCGTACCTCATCGTGTGTACGGACATGCATTTATGTTTGCGTTAGCATGAGTGACATGACGACGACAATTCCTCTCCACTTCCATAATAACACCAATACACGCAATCTACATAAACCCAACATTTTCAAAAAAATTAATCAGTTTGTCTGACGATCGCAAAAGCGAGAAATCCAGGGTCACAAACTCACATCAATCCAACCAAATATGTTAGCCTATCTCTGATATTGAGCGCTTTCTAATAAGTACCGCGCATATAATATATAAATAATTATATATATATATATATATATATATATATATATATACACTTTTCACACACACACACATATATATATATATATATATATATATATATATATATATATATATATATATATACCTCCCCAAGGGAATCAAGCATGTACCCTTTTTACCATAAAGGAAAAACTGCATATACAGTGGCCTAAGAAATGTGTTTACCCAGGAGAAATAAACTACACCCAATTTCAAAATTTAATGGCGTAACCCCTACTCAACATAAATAAACAGTATTTAGAACTAGTATAGATTAGGTCATCTATCTGCTGGTTTAAGTGCTTGTATTCGATTTTTCATGGATTTGATCCAAGTTATAAACAATCGTCTGATCCATATTTTGTCACTTCTTTAGCAATGTTTCTTTAAGGGTTGCCACTGACGTGATTTTGGTTACACCATCGCGAAGTTTTCGGCGAAAGTGCACCAAAACTTGCTTTATTGGATCCATGTCAGGACTTTGGGCTACCCATTGCAGTGACTTGATTCCTTTCGATTCTTTTCAGGCCTTGACTACTTTGTTCGTATGAAGTAGCGTTCGATTTTCTTGAAAAACGTAAACATTCTTGTCAATCTGAGTGGTTTCAAATAGTGGGAGTATTCCTTTCTCTAATATTTGACAATATTTTGGACCATTCAACCGTTCGTCAACAAGAATCAGCTCAGATTTCTCTCCAAACCAGACAGTATCCCACACCATTACTCCAATCCCTCCATGTTTCACGGTTGCCTGCAGACATTTAGTGTTTCAAGTATCATTCTGATTTCTCCAAACACAAACCTATCTCGAATTCGAATATTGCAAAATTTACTTTCATCTGACCAAATTACAGACTGCCAAAATTCATAATCTTTGCACTCGAATTCTCTCACCTAGTCCATACGCCTGTTCCTGTTAACCTCAGAAATCAAGGGCTTCTTTCTTGCAACTCTATTTGATAGCCAAACTCTTTCAGAGTCATTCTCGCCGCAGATGGCGACATTTCCACGGTGTTGACGACATCTTTGACGACGGTTTCTGATGACTTCCAACCTCAGCACCATTTTCGTTCACTCAGACACGGTGCTTGGTCTTCCTGAACGTTCGTTCCTCACGACAATGGCATTCTTCATTAATTTTATTGACAATATTATTAACCGTTTGATGATTAACGTTGAAAAACTTACCAAATTCACTATTTCACTTGCCACACTGATGCCATTGTATTATTTGCCATAGTTGAAATTCACCAATTTCCTTACTTCCGCAAACTTTCATTGTCAACTATCATTCATAGATTCGAGTAGCTTGATACTAACAGGGTATTGTCTGAAAAAAAAAAATGTTATTACACACGCCAAAATTGCTGTAATTAAAGGTGACTAAAAACTTATCATAGCCCACTCTATAGGCAAAACGTGTCTCTATCAATTTTGCCTCTAGAGATATTTTGGCTTTAGGAGCGGTGTTCCTGATGTAAAAAGGGTATACATGCTTAATTCCTGTCGGGAGATAAAGCTTTTAAGTGCAAAATAAGTTAATATAATAGTCAATATAAGTTAATGAACACATTATACACGTATGTTAAACTATATTTTATATAAAATAATATTTACACAATATTACCTTATGTCTATCTTCTGACTCACAAGTATACCGTACTTGTGTCAACCTTTTGGCCCAGGTGCAAAGCTCATCGCTATATACCATTAAATGAAGTGTAAAACCCCCAAAACTGGACTTAATTAAAACGTGTATCTATGTCGCCCTTCTGATTTCAGTATAAACCGGATTTATGTCTATTGTTTGACTCATGTAAACTGAGCCTATTGCTATGAATAATCACGAGTGGTCTCCCCTTGTTTTGTAACTCTTCTCGTTGAGAAAGCTATTTATGTTTACTGGGACCATGAAAGACACTATACGCGAACCTTGGATTATCAGTTGAATAAAGCTTTCTTAAAGCCTACACCTACGTACTTTTTTGTCATTACCCCTGTGTCTATCTTTAGAGTGAACTGTAAAACGGCCCCATGACCCTTTTCTGTTAATTTATTGTGGCATAATAAGGCTAGCCTGTCCTAGTTACTATAAGTGAACGGTGACAACGTATCATAGAAGGCAATGCGAAGTGAAATTATATATAGTATTTTCTATCAGTAAATTTACGAATTTACAACGAGAATAACAAATGCAATTCCAGTCCCGACAGAAGCCGATTTCCAGTTTCGCGAAATGTATTTTACATAATATAAACTGTGGTATTCCATCAGTTCATTTTATTCTATTAAAACAGGTCGACGAAACATATAATGGCTTCAGATTTTTTTTCAGTCCATTGAATAATTTCTATTAAATATTTTTTATTCATTATCAGTAATTAAGTTCGTGTAAATAATAACTCCTTTCTCCGACGAAACATGTCTTTCTCTTTATGTCTTGATGCATATGCGCATAACTCTTGATTATGACGTCATCAATTGTTTACCGTAAGTCAGTCAACCATAGTCCATCATCTTTTACCCACAATGCCCCATCTCGTTTTGTAACATTCATATTTTTTTCTCTCGACTGAAGTCGGAAAAAGAAATGTTTTAACGGACTTTTTGTCCACCCTGATGAATTTGGTCTGACGCTGCAACGATTTAATTTGGAATCAAACAGCAGAAAAAAATGGTTCGAAGCTAAAAAAAAACAGATGGGCCAGTGCAAACAGAAGAGTGTAAAAAGGCGAAAGAGAGAAGGAGAAGTCAAGGAAGAAAAAGAAAGGGAGAGAAAATAAGAGGAAAAGGAGGAGGGAAAGAGAAATGAAGAGAATAAAAAGAAAGGAAACAAGAAAATTTGAAGAAGAAAAAAGAAATATAAGAATTAGGAAAAGAAAAAAGATGAGAAGGAAATTAAAGAAAAAGGAAAAGACGTACAAAGGAAAAGAATTGAAAGCGCAGAGATAGCGAAAAAAAAAGGAAAATAAGGTAAAAACATGGATTTAAGAGAAATAAAGAAAAAAGAAAGAAGAAGAATACACGGGAAAAAGAAGAAAATAATTGAAGCAAGAACGAAGAAATGATAAATAGAAGAAAAAGATTAACGACAATATAATAGAAATGAAGAAGGAAAGAATGAAAAAGAGAAAGAGAAGAAGAAAAGGAAATATATATATATATATATATATATATATATATATATATATATATATATATATATATATAAAAGCGAAATTACAACAAATAAAAAAAAAAGAGCGTAATAAAATAATTGAAAAAAAAAACAAACAAAAATAAATAAAATTTGTTTATTTTTCGTCTTTTTACTTTTTTTTTTTACATTTTCCCTTAATTTTTCCAGCTCTTTATTTTTTTCTTTACTTTTCTTCTCTTTCTTTTCTATTCATTCATTTTTCTCGTTTCCTTCTTTCTTTCATTTTTTTTTTCATTCTGGTCTACATTTACCCATTTCTTTTCTTCATTTCTGCCATCCTTTCATTACTTATTTCTTTTCCGTATTGCTTCTTTCATTTTTTTTATTCCTTGTCTTCCTTCCATCTGTTCACCTATCCACCCAGACCGTAACCCCCTTGATTATTATGTGTGGGGCGTATTGAGCGTGAAACCAACGAAACTCCTTGTAACACCAAAAGATGAATTGAAGGCATATATATATATATATATATATATATATATATATATATATATATATATATATATATATATATATGAGATGACGATATATATATTTATCTATAAAGAACAGTATTGGGGAAGTTTTATGACAAAGTGGAAAAAACTTTACTTGTGACGCGTTTCGTCCTTGAGGACTTCATCAGACTAATGTTATGTTGATAGTACTACACATGCACACAGCAGAGGGTGCTGGAAATTTTAGAATCATTTTTTTTTGCATCCTAATTCATTTAGAGATTTTTTTTCGTTTTCTTTCCATCACTATTCTAAGTAAGTATTACACACTGTGATATTAGATCTACCAGAAATTGTAGATAACCTTGGGAATAAAAGCACTGTCGAAATTTATGTCGTAGTAAATTATTTTCTCCTTTGATCACGCTAGTATTGTTTATGTCGAAGTTGTGGTCAGTCTCGTTACGATGGATAATCAAAGTATTTGTTGTGCTATTTTGTAAAATGTCATTTTTGTTTTTCATTTAATCTTTTATTTAGATTCTTTGAGGTTTCACCTATGTATTTTTTGTGGCAGTTATTACAGGCGATGAAGTAAACTATTCCTTAAGGTTTTAACTTATTGTTTTGTTTAGTATTGACTAAGTCTTTTATTGTTTTGGATGTAATAGTAACTTTTATAGATAGATTCTTTTCCATTGTAGAAGTAATATAATTAGTTGCAGGATAATACATTCTCTTTCTTTCATTCTTTCGATTTTGGTCTTCCATTTCCTCACTTTTTTCCTTCATTTCTGCCATCCTATATTTTCTTATTTCTTTTCCGTGCTGCTTTCATTCTTTTTTCCTTCTCTTCCTTCCTCGTCTCTTATCTTTCCTTTCACATTTCTTTCTGTATTTCTTATTCTCTTTTCTCTTTTCTTTTTCCCTTTCATTTTCTTTCTTTTTTCTTCTTTTTCTTTTATCGTTTCCTTTCCTTGCCTTGCCCTTGTTATGGTGAAACACATCAATTTTACAGTTAATAAACTCTCCCACCTAATATAAGTAGGAGTAGTAAGAGAAACGAGGGTCAGTCGATGTCGGACGACCGGCTGAACGGTTGAACTCTCTCCCTTCAAGCGGGGAGGAACCCGAACGAGGCTATGCTGAAGGGCAGAGTCTCGTTCGGGGAGGTAAACCGACCCTGAACCCGTATAAACGGGTTCAAAGGGTATATTTTTAGACGAGTCCACGGGCTCGGAGATCCCACGTTAAACAGGCCTTGTGCCACATGATATCCTCGTGGGGGGTGACTAAATACTAGTCGATGTCGGACGACAGTAGTCGACACTTAGTCGAATACGAAAGTAGTCAGCGACCACAACAAGATTACTCTGCGTAATACCTATTATATCAAGTTCCTAACGTTTTGTACGTCGAACCTATTTTAAGACCGATTTAGTACAAATACAAGCCTCCACTGCGAAATAACTCCACAACAGCACTTTTACTCTTAATTCCTTTTTTCTTTCTTTGCAATCTTCGTTTTTCTTGGTTATTTCCCTTTTGGCTTCTCCTTCCGGTTTTCTTTCTTTAATTTTTAGCGTCGTTTCCTCCATCCGGTTATTTATTTCTTTTTTTCATTCTCATCTCTTTTCCCCTATTTTTCTTTGTTTACTGTACCAGCCTTATATTTCCCATTCCTTTTTCTAG